TGATATGTTATTTAACCTTTTAATTAAAAAAAACACCAAATGGTGCACAGAACCATTATTTGGTGTATTTTGTAAACTAAACTTTCAAAATTCCCTTACTTCTGGGTACTTCTTCAACTAGAATGTAGTCGTTCAGCTTCTCCAGGGGCGTATTGCTCCTTTGAAGACACAACGTGAGCACATCCAGCGTTGTGGACTCCTGGATGATCTTCAAAATGGTGTACTCTTCATCGGGCAACACCCCATACACTACCAGGAAGAACATTTTTCGTTTTCCGCAAATCGGCGTGCCAACTGCAGCTGCAAACACGTGGAAACGTTAACTTTTGGTTTAAAGAAACATACTTTGAACCTACCAACAAGACTATCAGATTCCTTGGAGTCGCTCTCCGTTTGAGGGTCCTCGCGGTTTTCGGTGTTCTCCAAACTTTCCTCCTCGATTCGGGAGTATATGAAGAGTGTGGACATGTTTAGGTCGCGGTTTTGGGCGTTTTTCAACCTGAAGATTAACGAAGTTTGATCAAGTCTCCCTTAGACCTTCAGGCCTCACCTCATATGCCTATACCCAGGCCTCAAACAGCGCAGCGGAATAATCCTTTGGGACAGTAGATGATTGTTGGTAGAATCGGTGACGGAGAATCGCACAAAAGTGAGGTCTTGGAACATGACTCTGAAGTGGAACGTCTCGTTCCAAATGGGGTTGAGCGCATTTTTCGGCACCTGCAAACAGATGGGAGTGGTTTTCCGCTCACCTCCCTCCAAGGCTCGACTTACCACTTTAGTTCTTTGCTTGGCGCAGTCCACTTGAATGCCGATAATTTCCACTTCCACATAGACGCTAACGTTCACATTGGCTTGGCAAACGTACTGGCCAGAGAGGACGCTCACGATGAACTGAGAAGAGTGGATTCCATCGAACTGCTTATCCCAGGGGTTGAATCTGGAAAGGCCGGCGGTTAGCCAGGAGGTGAGCAAAGGAGGATTGAGTCCTCACCGTCTGTACATTACATGGCTCTTGTCCCACATCACCCGGGGTTTGCTCACGTAGCCGCACTTCCCATTGGTCTCAAACAGGGAGTTGTGGAGTTGCATTGGAGTGTCTTCAGTTTGGAAGTTCAACGCCGCCATCTGTATCCCTGAAAATTACCGTTCAGCCTCACTCATGCCCCGTTTCAGAACTCCAACATATCGGTTACATAAGCTTATGAGTCTCATAAACTACCAAAATCACGTCTGTTGGGTTTCTCAACGTCTGTTTAAAGTTTATTGGTTCCATAAGTTATCGAATAGATATCTACTCGAAGATGGATGGATATCGGCTTGATAACGTCTGACGCAAGCGTGTAGGGTTTGTTTTCATTTTTACAACAGAGCGATTCTAACCTAACATAAC